GATTCCAGCTTGTGCTTCCTCCAGCCAAGCGTTTCTCATCCTGTACTCTGCATAGAAGTTAAATAAGCAGAGTGACGATATACAGCCTTGACGTACTCCTTTTCCTATTTGGAACCAGTCTGTTGTTCCATGTCTGGTTCTAAGTGTTGCTTCTTGACCTGCATACAGGTTTCTCAAGAGGCAGGTATGGTGCTCTGGTATTCCCATCTCTTGAAGAATTTTCCATGGTTTGTTGTTTTCCACACAGTCAAAGGCTTTGGCATAGTTGAGAAAGCAGATGTTTTTCTGGAACTCTTTTGCTTTTTGTATGATCCAGTGGATGTTTGCAATTTGATCTCTGGTTCCTCTGCCTTTTCTTAAACCAGCTTGAACATCTGGAAGTTCACAGTTCACGTACTGTTGAAGCCTGGCTTGGAGAATTTTGAGCATTACTTTGCTAGTGTGTGAGATGAGTGCAATTGTGTGGTAGTTTGAATATTCTTTGGCATTGCCTTTCTTAGGGATTGAAATGAAAACTGACATTTTCCAGTCCTGTGACCCCTGCTGATTATCTGAAAAACTAATAATCTTCAAGTTTTAGAAAGAACTGTTTGGAAAAGGGGGGAGGCTACCATTTTTGGAGCACATATTGTCTTCCAGGAATATAATGGATGCTTTGCATTTTACTTATAAGCCCCACGGTGGCGTCCACCTGGCTCAGTGGTAGGGAATCCTCCTGCCAATGTAGGGGACACAGGTTCGATCCCTGTCGGGAAGATCCCTAGAGGAGGAAGTGGCAGCCCACTCCAGTCTTCTTGCTTGGCACGTTTCATTGACGGAGGAGCCTGGTGGTACAGTCCGTGGGGTGGCAGAGAGTTGGACACAGCTGAGTGACTGAGTGCACACACCCACAGTGATCCATCCCCAGGGTAGAGATGAGGAAACTGGGAATTAGATGAAGTACTGAACTGATGTGCCTAACTCTAATTACGGTTTGTTTGACTCTGAAGGCCATGTTTTTTATATCGTACTATGATACCTGTCGGTTGTGATCTAGTAATGTTGGTGACAGGTAGGTACAAGCAGTTGTATTAATGAGGTCGCTGTGCTGGGCTTAGTCAATCTGTCGTGTCTGGCTCTTTGCGACCCCATGGACTGTAGCCCACCAGGTTCCTCTGTCCGTGGGATTCTCCAGGCAAGAATACCGGGGTGGGCTGCCATGCCCTCCTCCCGGGGATCTTCCCGACCCAGGGAACGAACGAGGTCTCCTGCGCTGCAGGCGGATTCTTTACCATCTGAGCCACCAGTGGGGCAAATCTTAGCTGTTAAGTGTTTGCTTTTTTCTGTCCTTTCCCCTGTAAAATACTGACTGTAAACCATAATTATTAAGGTACCAACCGTTTATTCTTTGTAAAGACATTTCATAAATATGGCTTTTTTGCCGTGTGAAAGATTAATAAGGCTTTGAAGAATACGAAGCAGCGAGTCATGTTTTTTGGACATCCCTTCTCTGCTGTATCAGACAGAACATTAAAAAGAAATAACCAAAAAGACTTAACTTGATTCATAAATTTAAAAGAAAAAAGTCTCTGTCGGTCAGAAAATAAAACCACACAAGGAACAGGGAGCACAGACAGGCCTGGGGCCAGTCATCTTGTCGGGATATCAGACCTCAGAGTGTTGAGAGCACAGGAAGAGATGCATGACGCAGCCCTGATGGGGAAAGGCAGGCTGCAGCTGGCTGGCCCTAGCCTAGGACCAAAGCAGGGACTGACCACGTATCAATCACAGATTTCAAAAAGCAGTGTGCCAACCAGATTATTTTAACCACAAAGCAATAAAATTAGATCCCAATAATCAAAAGTTGACTTCAAAAAAAAATATGGCTTGCCCCACCAGCTATTAAAACATACAGATTATAATTAGAACTGTGGTACCTAATAGGAAATTAGTTGAATGAAATACTAGTCAGTTATTTTTCAAAGAAAATGGGAGAGAAACCTTAATACTACTTTGGCATAGTCTCAGGGATATTATTATCAAAAATGCAGAGTGAAGTTAAATATTAAGGGTATGCTACCAACATACTACTTACAGTGTACTGTACAGTACCCTCTTGTATCTGTGTTTGCTTGGGTTTTTAAACTGTTGGGGACAGGGCCATGGTGGGTGGTAAGTAAAGCAAGTGTATAAAATTCAAAAGCACAGTGTCACAAGTGAACCAGTATTTTAGTTGGTGGCTGAGTCACATAAAGAAGAATTATTTCAGGTAACACTTAAGATGATTTGGCTGGATATACTTAATGAAATATCTTAAGGACAAAAAAAAATGACAAAGAATTCAAACCTTTTAATTATCATTTTGTTCATCATAACTTTAATATTCAGTCATAATGTTATTTTGAAATAGTTGTATAAAAGAATAATACATATTAATGTTATTAGAACCAAGTTTTTCAGCATTAGGCAGCAAATAGTTATAAAATCTAAGCAAAACTCCCAAATGACACATATTGAGGTTATTTACAGATGAAAGGCTATATTATTTGTTTGAAAGTAATTGAGGGAAAAGTCAGAACAGATGTAAAACAAAATCAGTTAGGTATTGATCATTGGGAAGCTGGGTGATGACTACATGAGGATTCATAATATATTTTTTTCTGCTTCTCTGGCAGTTATTTTTCAAAATTTTAAATATATGCTTAAGAGTATAAATTGTACTCCTGAATAACTCATGAGTTAAATGGAAATCAAGATAAAAATTGCAGATATTTGAAACAGAATAATCATGAATTATATGTACGATTTCAAATGTGGGACATGCCAGAAAAGCAGTCCTTAAAGGTAAATTTATTGACTTAAATGTTCAAAGGAAAGATTTAAGCTAAGTGAGTTCAACTGAAGAAGTTAGAAAAAGAGATTTCCCTGGCAGTCCAGTGGTTACGACCCTGTGCTTCCAAAGCAGGAGGCATGGGTTCAGTCTCTGGTCAGGACGTTGAACTAAGATCCCACATGCCATCTGGCATGGCCAAATTTTTTAAAAAGTTAGAAGAAATACAGGAAAAATAGAGGGGGAAAGTAAGAACAAAAATGTTATCACCTTATATTAATATCTCAGTAGGTTGAATTGAACTAAGGCTTTCTGAGAGAGGATTGGTCTGTAATTTTCCTTTTTTCTAATATCCTTGGCTTCAAATCAATTTTATATTGCCACATAGAAGAGTTGGTAGTCTGTAGGGAAATTGGTAGGATTTCTATATTGCCATATCTTTTATAAAGTTAAATTTCTGCCTCAGTGAATAGTGAAAGGACTGAGAGTCATCTCAGTGTTTATTCTCAGCACAGATTTGATGCCAGGCTGCTGGACTAGGCACTGAGAATACATGCTTGACTGGGGTCTGTCCGCACTCCCGAGGCACTTGGCTAAGAGAAGGTGTGTGCGCGCTCAGTCGCTTCAGTCGTGTCCGACCTGCCAGGCTTCCGTCCATGGGGTTCTCCAGACAAGAACACTGGAGTGGGTTCCCTCCTCCGGGGGATCTTCCCGACCCAGCGACTGAACCCGTGTCTCTCATGTCTCCTGCATTGGCAGGGGGATTCTTTACCACTAGTGCCAGCTGGGAAGAGAAGATACAAATTTGTAAATAAAAAATTACAGTCAGGTGAGAAATGTCAGTAGACAAAGTCCCAGGGCAGTGCCCTGAAAGAAGGTGATTCTTAGTGTCCATGGCAGACGCTGGGAAAGGCTGGGAGGTTTGTTCAAGTAGCCTCCAAGAGCTGTACCTACGGCACGACGGAGGACGTGTGCAGATCATCACAAGGAGTTTGCTTTGTGGCCGGGTCAGTAAGTCATGAGCACCAACAGTGGATCGTGGCAGATTTTGGCAGCCAGGTTGATGAGAGAGAGCCATCTGGTTTTTCTTTATTTTAATGTCTTCATAAGGTATTAGGGATATGCTGGTCGCAAAAGTGTCGTGAAGTTTCCTTCTTCGCTGTTCTCTGCAAAAGGTTGTAAAAGATTAGTATCATTTCTTCAAGTGTTTGTGAAGTCATTTGGGCCAGAGGTTTTTTTTTGGTCAGTATGTATTAAACAGTGACCTGAAATTTCACCTTAAAAAGTTGAGTAGATGTCTGAAAAGGTAATATATCATTCTTACTGCCATTTTCATGTAATAAGACTTCCATCTGCTTACTGAGGCTACCACAATCCATAGTTTGATCAATGTATCAGTGGCAGAAATTCACTAGTATAAGAATCCAATCTGTTACTAATTGTCAAATGGTGTATTACAGGTTCAACTAAAAAAAAAACTGACTCCCTTGGCTGTATAGGGGTACAGTGGTGTTGGATGAGACCAGTCTGTGCCATCCAGGCTCTTACAGGCTTTATTTGGAGCATGCGTCAGATCATCTAATCTACTTGATTTGTTAGCATTATATTTAAAGATTAATAATCTTGAACTTTACTGCTTAGATTGCTTTCTCTTAGTTACTTTGAGGGATTTATTTTTAATTAGATATATATTTTGTAATAAGCAGTGCATTCACATTATTCAAACTTGAAAAGTTACAAAAAATGTCTCTCTTGAACATCAGTTCTTTAGTCACCCATTTCCCCAGCTACAGAGCCAACAGGTGTTAATTGCTTCTTAGCTGTCCTTCAATTCAGATTCTCTGGATATGCATGTAGTATATCAATATAGGCCTCCTCTCCCTTTTCAAAAAAGCACTTTTCTGTTCTGTAGTATGCTTTTAACTTGGTGTGTCTGTGACTGCTCCATGGCCTTGCCTATTAGAGCTGCTGCTTGTTTCTTTGTCTTATGGCTGCCTAACATATTACACTGATGACAAGCATGTCTAATAATAATAAACTAATGTACCCTTTGTACTAGTGGTGGGTTTTTAGGTTACTTCTGGTCTTACTACAGAAAAGGCTATGTTGACCATCCCCATCGTGCTTGTGAATAACTGAATATCGTTTTTCTTTGCTAGTTTTTTAGACCAGATCTTCTGTTTCCTTTCAGCCATGAACCAGAGAATCAGTCAGAGTGCTCCAGTGAAACAGCCGCCCCCGCTGGCCCCCCAGAGCCCGCAGGGCGGCGTCCTGGGTGGCGGCAGCTCCAACCAGCAGCAGCAGATGCGGCTGCAGCAGCTGCAGATGGAGAAGGAGAGGCTGCGCCTGAAGCAGCAAGAACTGCTTCGGCAGGTGAGGCCCCAGGTTAGAGACCAGCCTTCCGCTCTCGGGGCTTTGTCTTCCTACCTGAAGCTGGGTGTGTTTCGTTTCGGCATTTGTTGGTTGCAGAGGAGCGTTGTCTCTCTCAAACTAGAGTGACACAGAAACATTCTGTCCAGCTCTGTCCTCGTCTTAGTCTTCTTGCTGGCCTCTGAGCACGTGGGCTGTGACTTGTATACCTGCATCACACAGAGGCGTTCGGGCCATGTTCACGGCAGTCAGGCAGAAGTCAAGGGGAGCAGGGGTGCTTTTCCTCAAATATACAGGCATGCCTCAGAGATATTGCCCATCAGTTCCAGACCACCACAGTGAAGCGAGTGTTACAGTAAAGTGAATCACACGAAGTTTTTGTTTGCTGGTGCATATAGGAGTTAATGTTTATACCATACTATATAGTCTATTAAGTGTATAATAGCATTATGTCTTAAACAGTGTACATTTTTTTAAAGTACTTAATTTTTAAATACTTAACTGCTGAAAAAAATGCTAGCCATCACCTGAGCTTTCAGTGAGTCATCTTTTTGCAATAGTAACATCACAGATTACTGTTATAAATAAAATAATAATGAAAAAGGCCAAAATATTGTGAGAATTGCCAAAATGTGACACCGAGGCGTGAAGTGAGCAATTGCTTTTAGAAAAATGGCTCTGATAGACTTGCTAGTCGCAGGGTTGCCATAAACCTTCAGTGTGTTTTAAAAAAAATTGCAGTGTCTGTGAAGTGCAATAAAGCGAGGTATGTCTGTACAGGGAACTGCAGACCATTTAATATCTGAAGGTTTCACTACGGGAGGAACTGGAACATCACCTGGGGAGAAACATCTTTTACTTTAAACAAATTATTTGTCTGGGAGAATACACCAGTATGATACCTCTCACAGGAGAGATAGCTTTCACTATTGCTGATCTAAGATGTGTTTTATTTAAAATGTAACATAGGCTATCCCAAGTTTAGAAGATCCCCAAGTGTCTTAAAATTACCTGCTTGTGGTTGTTTTTTTCACTTTGGGAAGGGTAGGTTCTAACATTAGAGAGCTGGAAACCTTTAGGGCCATTTCTATAGATTTTCTTTCAGAAATACTGTTGGCTTTTTTATGCCATAAAAATATAATCCCTCATCTCAAATTTCAGAATGCTAAAATCTAAAGTTCAGATGTTGGGGGTATGATCTTAGTATATTTTTAAATTTTTATATAAATATTTTGGGTAATAAAAACACAATGTGATTTTGAAAGTGTACAAAAGGTGTAAATGAAAATAAAATCTCCCTTTCCGTTTCTCTAGTTCTCTTTTCTGGAAGTAATTAGCTAACAATTTCTTACACTTTCCCCCACCCCCACCCCAGACCTTTTCTTTATTTACAAACATGAAATACATGTGTCTATACTATTCCCCCTGCCCCAAATTATAGCATACTAAGATAAGGCATTAAAAATATCATTATATAGTACATTTTTGTTTCCAGGATGTAGACATTTGAACAAGGTACTGTTTTCTTCATGAAGGTTATATTTTAATAGTGTCACTTGAGTGTTAATGGAAATAGATGAACTTGATGTAGTGATTGAACTCTGATTTGGGACTTGAAGAACTGGTACCTAAGAGTTAAACTGAGCCACAAGCATCCCAGACCGCCACACCTGCAAACTGCGCTGTCAGTAGCCGGCCAGTGTCACGTGGTGTGGCTGGCCCCAGAAGTGAGTGAGGGAGATGATGCCCGTATATGGTGTCATGAAGTGGTCTTGAAAGAAGTATTTCCTCATCTGCCTTTAAGAAAGTAGAAAAAGGAAGCACATTAACAAGTTTACTATACCTCTGACAGACTTTTAACATATTACTATAAAGAAAAGACATTTTTCATTTAAATAAAACTTTATCACCAGAGCAAGGTAGCATCATCAAGAATATAATTATATAGCTATTAGAAGAAATAAAGTAATTTCAGGGTACGTTTTACACAGCCTATTTTCATTGCTTGCTTTTCATTTTGTCGTTACTGAGTACTAGATGGTGTAAGTAAATATTATTTCACATATGAATTGAAGACCATCAAAACCAAGAAACCTTATTAATAAGAAAGATTAAAATCCGTCATTTCATTGCTGTAGATCAGCTGTCTCCCATCCCCTTCCCAGTCGGTGGGCAGAATGCTGCTGCTTATGAAATTCTTTATTCTAAAGAATTTTCCTAAGCCTTATTCCCACTCTTACTCTGGGTGACGGTCCCGGACAGAATAGCTTCCTTTAGAGGTGACTTCTTTGTCTCTTTACTGCCTACTGTGTTGTCTATTCTTCTGTTGAAGTGACCGACCTGCTCTAATCTTATACTAATGGTGTATTGTTTAAGGTGTTTGTTTTTTAGCAATCAGTATAAATTCAGTTTAAGTCTTTCGGCTTCCTGTAAACTTCTTCCACTGACAGTTTCTCTTATCACTGAAACATCAAATTATATTTTCCCTGCTTCATCTAATACTCAGAAGTAAAGAACCTACCCGACCAGTATCAGATTGTGTTTGAGTCCCGACACCTGTCCTGCCCTCAACGCTGTGAACACTGCTGAGGCTTCCGTGTGTCCGTGGTGACTCCATGGTCTCCTGTCTCCCTCAGTCTGCTTCTTCTTGAGCTAGCTTGGGAATTCTGTGCTATGGTGATATGTCTGGATGGAATTTGTAAGTCAGCCTACACAGCCAACCCATGTGGCTTAAAGTAATTTTTATCCATCTTATTTTTCACTCTTAGGCAATGCGGAATATCAATCCCAGCACAGCCAATTCTCCAAAATGTCAGGTAGGCTCTTGTCTGATGTTTTAGCGTTGAAAACAGATATTCTGTTAGGAAAGAGAAAAACTTGTGCTCCGGGGGCCTGTCCTCACTGAAGAATAACTTCAAGGCCTCTTCCTACCAAGCTACTTAAGTTAACATTGCTATTCCCAGAAAGTTGACACTATCCGCTCTTCCCACAATAGTAGTAGTCCTTTTGACTCCGTAGAGGTCTCCCCCCTCAGCCCCCACATTTGATATGTAGTGTGTGCATCCTGTCAGCCTTGAAGTGTGTCTGATTTTTATTTGTGTAGCCTGAAGTGGTGCTTACAGTGACTTTCAGGAATTAAAAATTTGAACAATAACAAAGGTGGCACAGCTTATTTACCTAGGTAGGCTACTTTAGGAAATCCAGTAGAGTGTAATGATACTGCTAGGAAGGGAGACTTTTTTCTAGTGGACATTCCAAAGAAAGAATGTCAGAATCCCTGGAGAGAGAAGGGAGCAGTGCTCTGCCTAAGTACTCTTTGGGTCTCTTTGTTGGCTTCTATCAGCATTTCTCCCTGGTGAACCCAAAGAAGCACTGCTTGTGAAGGTATCTTATTCAGATGCAGTGGGTGTGGCCACTTTTTCCTTCTGTAACATAGGCACTTGTCTGACTCATGAAGAGAATCTCATTCTTAAAACCAAAGAGATCTCTGTGTTAGGGTTCACCGATTATGGAGGAACTAGAAGCTGAGGGATTATTGCACTTTTTTCAGGTGGGCAGAAGTGACCATCAGACGCCTCATTTTATTCTCTCTAGCTCTTCTGCACTAGGCTGACAGGTGCATTGTGTTGGAATGAACTGTGGAAGTGGGAATTGTCAGAACTCCACTCATGTTAGATTCTGTTAACTTGTCTGTGTAGATACTATACTACATAGAGTCCTCACAGAGACCAGTTAACTTGGTGAGAGGAAAATCTCTATTCTTTATCTCTCTCATAAATGCTTTCTTTAATCAAGAAATCAAGTAAGGGAATAATTCATGAACATCATCTTTGCTAAAGCAGTGCAGACATTCTTACAATGAGGGCTGCTAATTTCACATTTGACTGGGAAGAGCACTGTAGCATTGGATCTTTAAATAAAGTGGAAACATAGGAGCAGAAATTAATTCAAATGAGATTTGGGATCAAGCAAAAAGTTCTCAGTGTTAAAGTGTTTTGAAATTGTCTCCTGTTTATTTTTTCCTATTAAGATCCTAAACTTTAAATCTGATAAATAAATGAACTGCCTTCAGGTCTTTATTTCATACATCAGTATAAGTGTAAATAGTTGCTCTCATTAAAATTATCAGGAGTTTTTAGATACTTCTTGTAGTAGTAAAGCTTTATAAAAGTTAAAGCTTATAAATTAAAATTCTATTATCAATAAATTTTTATGGTATTAAGATTACAGTGTTGATCCCTTAGATTTGTCTAAGCCAGAGCTGGAAACCTGAAAGAGATAGGTTTTATAAAAAATTTTAATTTTTAAATTAGCTTCGTGTATGTGGAGAATAAAATATTATTAGCTTGTTGTATAAGTTTCAGTTGTCAGTGTATTTACCTGACACAATTGGGAAAATGTATGAAATTCCAATATAGGGCTAAATTTGGAATTGCTCCAATACATAGAAACTGGTGGTATTTGTATCAAGCAAGTATTTGTGTTTTTCTCATCCTACTTATTTTCTAGATTATCTTAATGTAGATGTCAGGAAAATTTTCACAAAGAACAGTCTTAAGTGAAGATGCCTTTAAATAAGGTTACCAAGATAATCAAGAAAGCAAGAAGAAACTTTCCAGTCTCAAAGAACAGACTGTACAAAGGAATAATGAAGAAAAAGCGATGGATCCATTCAATACTTGAATGCCAGACACTTTTGTTCAAAGTTGTCAGATATCTTTGTTTTTATTTGTTTTTACTTTTCTAATAGAAATTAGTACAGATGAGTTAACAAGCAAAATGAAATCAGTGACATTATTTTATAATTATATAACTCGTTTGCTATGGACTTTGGGAAAGTATCAGACTTCAAAATGTTTACAAATTACTAAGTACTTCTGCGTAGGATTAACAAAACATGTTTGTACTGTAGAATTCTCTGGTCATGTAAGCTAGTGTCAGTATGGGTGAGGGTAATGCAAAATTCTGAAAAATTAAGACAACTTTAAAGGCATTAGTATGTCTTCTTAGTTAAAAATGGAAATTATTCCCTTTGTTAGGGTTTGTTGGCAGAATTTTGGAAAAACTTGTCCTTACAAAGCTTTAAATTGTTTAATTTCATTCAGATTAGCTTAGCTATTTTTATGTTTCTAAAGCAGTTTCTAGTCTCAGGAAAAAACCAAAGAAGACTTTGAAACTAAGCATTGTCTTTGCTCTGTGAGATTGAGCATGCATGTGATGTTCAACTTGGAGAAAAGATGGTTCCCCCGCCTGAGTGTGAATGTTTTTACCTGTCTTACGCTTAAGAATGTGGTTCCTACTGCCTGTGGTTCCCTTAGTACCTGTAAGGTCAGGCCTAAACTCTGCAGCCTGGCTCGTTTATGGTCTGTGGTCAGTAGTCTTCTTTCTTTCTCTCAATTCTGGTTAAGCCAGTTACCTTCCTTCAGCCAAGTGCACACCCCTGTCTTGTTGCCATGATCCCACTCATGAGGAATCCTTTTCCTCGTTAGGAGTACCTGTCTTTTCCTCTTCCCTTTTACTAATTAAGATTCTCCATTTCTTTCATCAGGCCTAGGTCAAAACACATCCCAAAGAGCCCTCATCAGAATTCTTGAAAAACCCAGAAAATAGAAACAAGACTGCTGTGCATAGATATCTTAACTTTATTTTTGAGCAAGTAATTGCTTTACTCTTAATAGAAATTATAGCTTCATAGAAATTATTTATATTGCAAAAAATATTTTGCAACTAGTGAATATTGTGTAGTTGCCATTCCATGTATATAGTAATATACACCAGGGTCAGTTACTGGTTTTGAGGGATTGAAAAATTAATTTAAAAATAATTTAAATAAATAAAAATTAATATTGTAGTATTAATATTGAACATATTGTACTACACTCTTAGCCCAAAATGGTGAAGAAATTCAGATGTCCATAGTTTTAGTCAAATAGAGCAAAATGATAACTCTTTTCAGAGCCATGTGAAAATAATCACCACAACTTTTTTTTCTGAATTTAATAATAGCAAATCTTTGGCTTTCTTTCCCTCCAGACTCTCTTTTATGTTAGCAGATACTAGAAAAGCTAAGATTATCTCTCCTTTTTGAATTCCTAATATTGAGTAAATCATAGATTCATTTTGGTATTTTCCCATGAATATTTTATTTTTAATGGGCATATTGAAAACTGTATAAGAAGGGATGAGATTCAACCTCATGCCCTACTTACTCTAATAGAGTATCTCGTTTGTTTTATTCATTAAGGTCATGGTAATTTGAACAATGTTATAATAACTTTATTACTTTGAGACCACAATTAAGTAGCATAAATTACAAAAGAGATCTGTCAGAGTGTTGAATCTCGGGATCATGCTATGGGAACATAAAACTGCAAATCTATTTTGATTATCACTTTTAAGAATTTAAGATTATCATACAGTAGTCATAACTATTCCCAAATCCATATATACACATTTTTTAGTCAAAAGGGTTGTTCTGAAGTTGAAGGTAACTTCAATAAATGCCACAAATATTTTTTTAAAAATCCAAAAAGCATTCTCAACATTGGTTAAATGTTTTAATAACTTTTGACATAATTAAATATTTTATGGTGGTTTAAAACTGTGTTGTAAAATGGAGTATGACAAGAACCTATCTTGAATGGTTGGAGGAAATGGCTTTTTTTCCTTCTGTTGACATAGACTGCTATTACTAAGACAAACTGTTTAAAAGATGTGTATTTTTAGAGTTTTTCTCCGTTTCTAAATTTGGGTTTCTAGTTCACTAAACTAACCTACTTTAAATAAATTGATTGGGTTCAAGAAGGGGAAACTCATTTGTGTGCCATGTATTATCCAGAAATGAGACATAAATTGTATTGGCTGAAGAAAAAAATTGCTTTAAGAAAGTAAAGTTGACATTAATTTTATAGGATTTTCTATGAATGAGATCATAACTTTTTCACCTTAGCATTTTGAGATTCACTCATATTATATCTATAGTTCACTTCCTTTTATTGCTACCTAGTATTCCACTGTATGGATATGCTACAGTTGTTTATCTGTTCACCTATTGATAGATATTTGACTGGTTTCTAAATTTTGATTTTGTGTAGGCATATGCCTCCATTTTGGTAGGGTACTCTTAAGAATTTAATAATCTAGCAGTGTTCAAACTGTTTCCGGACTACTGACTTCTTCTACTGCCTTTCTCCTTATTTTTCTAAATAGTGTGAACCAAAGCATCAATTTTTTATGGGGCAAAAATACTTAATATTTTAAAGTATCTTTTTTATCCTATGAGAAATGGTACTGCCACTTAGATAAGAGAAGGGAAATTTAAAAAGGACCAATGGCTCATGTCTAGATTTTGAGTCCATAAAAGTCCACTATATGAACCAGGCAAATCCCGTTTTCCTTTATAAACCATCCTGCAAACTTCCCTCCAGACCAAACTGGGTCCATGAGTTTTACTTACAGGGCGGATAGCCCTGGCTCCACACGCATACCAGATTAGCTAAGATTTACAGGCTCAGTGGGAAAAGTCACCACATTTTTGTATTATTACAGAAGAAAATGAGCTAAAAATACTTGCTTCCTTTAGAAAAAGTCAAATACTCTAAAAGAATTGTTTGACCTTTGAAATACAGAAGCATGATAAATTTTGGCTGAATTTCCTATAACTTGCTTAGTTCTCCATTTTTGAAAGTCTGTCATACTATTTATTCTGACTACCTTTGGGAAAAGAGACGAACTTGTATTCTTAGCTCAGTATTCTAATTTTAGACGTTTGTTTGGGATAAAAAGCTTCTTTAGAGATAGACATAACTTTCAACAT